CACGCGGGGTTTGGGGGGTTCGGGGGGTTTGGGACATTTGGGGTATTTGGGACATTTGGGGTATTTGGGACATTCTGGGTGTTTGGGACATTCGGGGTGTTTGGGACATTCCGGGTGTTTGGGACATTCCGGGTGTTTGGGACATTCGGGGTGTTTGGGGTATTTGGGACATTTGGGGTGTTTGGGGTATTTGGGACATTTGGGGTGTTTGGGGTATTTGGGACATTTGGGGTATTTGGGACATTTGGGGTATTTGGGACATTCCGGGTGTTTGGGACATTCGGGGTGTTTGGGACATTTGGGGTGTTTGGGGTATTTGGGACATTTGGGGTGTTTGGGGTATTTGGGACCTTCGGGGGATTTGGGACATTCGGGGCGTTTGGGACATTTGGGGTGTTTGGGGTATTTGGGACATTTGGGGGATTTGGGACATTTGGGGTGTTTGGGACATTTGGGGTATTCGGGACATTTGGGGGATTTGGGACATTCCGGGTGTTTGGGACATTTGGGGTGTTTGGGGTATTTGGGTATTCAGGGGATTTGGGACATTCGGGGTATTTGGGACATTGGGGGGATTTGGGGCGTTTGGGGTGTTTGGGACATTCAGGGCATTCGGGGTGTTTGGGACATTCAGGGCATTTGGGACAATTGGGGTGTTTGGGGTATTTGGGACATTCGGGGTTTTCAGGATATTCAGGAACCTCTTCCAGTACTCGGGGACAGGTACGGGGCACACGGGGTTTGGGACATTCGGGGCATTCGGGGTGTTTGGGACATTTGGGGTATTTGGGGTGTTTGGGGTATTTGGGGCATTTAGGCTATTTGGGACATTCAGGGTATTTGGAACATTCGGGGTATTTGGGACATTCGGGGTATTTGGGACATGCGGAGGATTTGGGGTATTCAGGAACCTTTTCCAGTACACGGGAGCAGGTACGGGGCAGGGCGCGTTTGGGGTGTTTGGGACATTCGAGGTGTTTGGGGTATTTGGGTATTTAGGACATTCAGGGTATTTGGGGTATTTAGGGTATTTGGAATATTCAGGGTATTTGGGTATTTAGGGGATTTGGGACATTCAGGGGATTTGGGGTGTTTGGGATATTCAGGGGATTTGGGACATTCAGGGTATTTGGGACATTCGGGGGATTTGGGACATTCAGGGGATTTGGGACATTCGGGGGATTTGGGACATTCAGGGGATTTGGGACATTCAGGGGATTTGGGACATTCAGGGGATTTGGGGAATTTGGGACATTCGGGGGATTTGGGGCATTTGGGACATTCGCGGTATTTGGGACATTCAGGGCATTTGGGGAACTTGGGACATTGGGGGAATTGGGACATTCAGGGTATTTGGGGAATTTGGGACATTCGGGGGATTTGGGACATTCAGGAACCTCTTCCAGTACTTGGGGACAGGTGCGGGACACGGGGTTTGGGATATTTGTGGTGTTTGGGGTATTTGGGATATTCGGGGTGTTTAGGATATTCGGGGTGGGGGATGTGGGAATGTGGGCGGGGCGTTCCGTCCGTGACGGCGCTCGCGGGTCGGCAGGGATGGCGCCGCAGAGCGACCCGTCGGGATTCGCGCCGGCGCTCAGCCCCGGCAGCCCCATGATGTCGCCGCAGCTGCCGCCGGCGCCGCCCGCGCCCGGCTACCAATCGCCGGAGCTGAAATCCTGGCAGGCCGGAGCCGTCGGGAACAACGGGTGAGGAACCGGCGCCGGCGAGGGCCCGGGGCGGCAGGAGCAGCCTCTGGAAGAGACTGCCCATTGGGATTGCCAGTTGGGATTGGGGATTGGGATTGGCCTTGGGATTGGCCATGGGATTGGCCATTGGGATTGGCCATTGGGATTGGGGATTGGGATTGGCCATTGGGATTGGCCATTGGGATTGGGATTGGCCATGGAGATTGGGATTGGCCATTGGGATTGGCCATTGGCCATTGGGATTGGCCATTGGCCATTGGCCATTGACAATTGGGATTGGCCATTGGGATTGGGATTGGCCTTTGGGATTGGCCAATGGGATTGGCCAATGGGATTGGCCATTGGTTTTTATAGGGTTTGTGTGGGGTTGGGGCTATTTGAGGTGTTCGGGGTTTGGGGTTTTTAGGGTTTGTGTGGGGTTGGGGCTCTCGCTGTGTACTGGCATCCCCCAGCAGCAGCAGCCGCAGGTAACGGGCTTGGGGTTTTTTAATGGGGTTTGTTAGGGGTTTTTTGGGTTGTTTCGGGTGTTTGGGGTTTGAGGTTTGGGGTTTTTGGGGTTTGGGGTGGGGATCTCCATGAGGGCAGCAATGCAGCAGCAGCAGCAAGCGGGTACCCCGGGCTTTGGGGTTTGGGGGTTTGGGATGGGTTTTAGGGATGGATTATTGATTTGGGGTTTGGGATGTTTTAAGGATGGGTTTTTGATATGGGATGAGTTTTAGGGATGGATTTGTGATTTGGGATGGCTTTTAGGGGTGACTTTTTTATTTGGGATGGGTTTTAGGGGTGGCTTTTTTATTTGGGATGGGTTTTAGGGGTGGCTTTTCATTTGGAATTGGGGATGGGTTTTAGGGGTGGCTTTTAGGGATGGCTTTTTGATTTGGGATTTGGGATGAGTTTCAGGGATGCATTTTTGATTTGGGATTTAGGGTTTGGGAAAGGTTTGGGATGTTTTAAGGATGGATTTTTGATATGGGATGGCTTTTAGGGATGGATTTTTCATTTGGGATTCGGGATTTGGGTTGGGTTTGGGATAGGTTTCAGGGAGGCATTTTTGATTTAGGATTTGGGGTTTGGGAAGGGTTTGGGATGAGTTTCAGGGACGCATTTTTGATTTGGGGTTTGGGATGAATTTCAGGGACTCATTTTTGATTTGGGATTAGTTTTAGGGACGCATTTTTGATTTGGGATTTGGGGTTTGGGATAAGTTTCAGGGACACATTTTTGATTGGGGATTTAGGGTTTGGGAAGGGTTTGGGCTAAATTTCAGGGACGCATTTTTGATTTGGGATTTAGGGTTTGGGATAAGTTTCAGGTACACATTTTTGATTTGGGATTTAGGGTTTGGCAAGTGTTTGGGATAAATTTCAGGGACGCATTTTTCATTTGGGATTTAGGGCCATTGGCCCATGGCCATTGGCCATTGGCCATTGACCACTGGGATTGGCCGTTAGGATTGGCCATGGGGATTGGCCATTGGCCATGGCCATTGGCCTTGGGATTGGCCAATGGGATTGGCCATTGGGATTGGCTTTGGGATTGGCCATTGGGATTGGCCAATGGGATTGGCCATGGGGATTGGGGATTGGCCATTGGGATTGGCCATTGGCCATGGGATTGGCCAATGGGATTGGCCGTTAGGATTGGCCTTGGGATTGGGATTGGCCATGGGATTGGCCATTGGGATTGGCCATTGGGGTTGGCTTTGGGATTGGCCATTGGGGTTGTCCAATGGAATCATCCCTTGGAATAATTCTTTGAAATTATCCACTGGGATTGTCCATTGGAATCGTCCTTTGGAGTCACCCATCGGAATTATTCTTCGGGATTTTCCGTGGGAATTGTCCTTTGGGATTATCCATTGGAACCTTCTAATGGAATCATCCTTGGGAATTGTCCATTGGAATTTTCCATGGGAATTGTCCATTGGGATTATCCATTGGAACATTCTAATGGAATCATCCTTGGGAATTGTCCATTGGAATGTCCATTGGAATTGTTCTTTGGAATTATCCATGGGAATTGTCCTTTGGAATCATCCTTGGGAACTGTCCATTGGAATTTTCCGTGGGAATTGTCCATTGGGATTATCCATTGGAACATTCTAATGGAATCATCCTTGGGAATTATCCTTTGGAATGTCCATTGGAATTGTCCATTGGATTTATTCATTGGAATTACCCATGGGAATTTTCCATTGGAATTGTCCTTTGGATTTATTCATTGGAATTACCCATGGGAATTTTCCATTGGAAGAATCCTTTGGAATTATCCATTCCATGGAATTATTGTCTGTGGCAGTTGTCCATGGGATTTATCCATTGGAAAAGAGGAGTCCCAAATTCCCAGGAGTCCCAAATTCCCAGGGAATTCCTGAAATTCCTTCCCAGAGAGGATTTGGGATGGGGATGGACCCAATGCCCGGCTGGGAATGGAGGGAATTCCCTGGGAAAAAGGAAAAATCCCAAAAATCTGGTTCAAATTTAGGAAGGAATTCCTGGGACATTTCAGGGAGTCTCAATTATCCCAAAAAACCCCAAATCCCAGAAAAAGAACCCCAAATCCCCAAAAACAGATAAATCCCCACCCCAGAAAATCCCCAAATCCTGCAGAAAACCTCAAATCCCCAAAAAATTCCCAAAAAGTTCCCCAAAACCCTTTGAAATTTGGTTGAATTTTTGCTCCATGGATCCCACCCCAAACCATTCCGGGATTCTGGGATCCGGGATCCATCCCCAGGGATTTTTATGGGATTTGGGGATGGAAAAGAGAAGTGGAGTCCCGAATTCCCAGGGAATTCCCAAAATTCCTTCCCGGAGAGGATTTGGGATCCAATGCCAGGCTGGGAATGGGAGGAATTCCCTGGGAAAGGGAAAAAATCCCAAAAATCTGGTTCAAATCTGGGAAGGAATTCCTGGGACATTTCAGGGTATCCCAATTCTCCAAAAAATTCCCAGAGAATCCGGGGCCGTCTCACCCTCGGAATTCTTCCAAGGACAAATCCGATCCTGGAATATTCCCGTGGCTTCTCCTCAAGGTCCCTCCCCCACAAACCACCCCGGGATTCCCGGAAAATCCCCGACAGCATCCAAGGAAATCTTGGACCGCCCCGGCACGGCGGGACCGGACCGCGCCGGAAGCGAACCGGCGCCACCCCGTGCGGAATTCCGGGATTTTTTTGGGGACCCCGTTCCGTTCCCGACGCCTTTCCCGTTTCCTTGGCAGCGTTTTCGGGCCGGCGGGCGCGGCGGCTCCGCAGGGCATGTACAACAACATGAGCATCACCGTCTCCATGGCCGGCCCCGGCGTTCCCAGCGGGCCCGGCCCCGGCGGGCCCGGCCCCGGCTCCGGCGGCGTTCCCGGCCCCGGCGTGCCCGGCTCCGGCGGCGTTCCCGGCGGTCCCGGCATGGGCGGCGGCATGGGCATG